GAGGTGGCACCATTACCGTAATGTTGCAGACGCATAGGACGTTGATTGCTCAGTGTTGTATACATGCGGTTCATACCATCTTCTTTTGGATAAACGGCATCGTAACTGTTCATTGGAATGTTTCCATTGGACCAAGCTCTCAGAGCGTGACTAGGTTGTTGAGAGGTCGTCGGATAGTTATCCGGAAACACGGATGGTTGTTTTGGCGAATAAGATTGTTTACCAATACCCAGATAAGGGTTGCCTGCGTGATACTGAGTGGAATAAGGAATATAAGAATAGTGATTTCTTACAGCATAATTCCTGTTTGAAGAGTCCCGCAGCTGATGAGCTCCTTTGTCCCGGTAATAATTGCCATACTCGGTAGCATGATGAGAAGGTCTCGAGCCGTAGTTTGTGTCGTTTCTGCTATATACCTGACCAAGAAGTGAAGGCCCAGGGAGAGTATTCGGTGTCTGAGGAAAATGACTTGAATAATAAGGTAGCACTGCATTATTATCAAGTGCGCTACTATTCGCGTAAGAGAGTTGCTGATACCACGGCCAGTTTTCATAATGGTCACTTTGTGCATAAGAAGGAAAATTTGCATAAGGATCAGGAATAATAGGGCGTGGAACTGGTTGATCTGGACGTAACAATGCTGGATCAGCCTCCATAGAAGACAACGGATCCTCATAATTTAACATGGGTAGTGCTTGGTCACTGGTGGTCGAGGACCTGTATCTAGGCACAGAGTAGGGGCGTTTTTTGGCTTGATTGAGGTACAACCGTTCCTCCGCCGGAGAGCCGTTTAACAGCTTTTGTTGATCAGTGATAAATTGATTACTCAGGTAATTTGCATATTGTGAGATAATATCAGTATTGGGTAGACTTTGGGGACCATCAAAATTCTGTGCTCGTGCACCAGACACATACTGCGGTCTATACAAATCATCATATGCAACTTTCATCAGTGGACGTCCAAAAGTTACACTTGATTCAGGGAGACGTTGTTGATATGATAACCACGGATCTAAATAATTCATAGACCGAGTGGCGTAAAGCCTCGTTCTGGAATCCAGAATTGGATCTTCCGCAGTAGTAGGAGTCACACTATGCCAGGACCTCAGAGGAGCGTCATACCGCCCTGTTGGAATTGGGAGTGATTGGAAATGGTCACTCTGTGCATCACCATAACTTCGCTCAATATAGCGCTCATAGTTCCGTGGAAGTGATCCGTACCCGAATAAATGTCGGCTACGATTACGATTTATATAGTCACGTCCGTTTGATCGAGGAGAACGCGTTGTAGGAAAATCGATCCTTGGCAAGGATCCGTAATGCGGAACAGTGGACGAATAGTCAGAAGTGGGATGAATAATTGGGAAACTGGATGCTGCATATAAGTCAATCATAGATGAAATCTTTTCTTTTCTCTGCGCGAGTTCATCCATAACTCTCTGCTTCCTGGTTTCCCTGTTTATTGGATCATCATCACTGAAAGCAAATCGATTCTTCAATCGTCGTCCATGTTCTCGAAGTTGCCTATCATATTCCGCGAAATACTTTGCCGTAGATTCCAGCAAATTCGGTTCCGAAGCCGAAAACAAATTACTGGCTGTGCTACAGTGACGGCGACTGGATGATCGGTTACTATGAGCTTCATAGGTCGTGGTGCCATTTGTTTGCGTTTCCGTGGACCGCAAGCGCGGTTGCAGTACCGCTGTTGCATCGGTACTGGTAGTGAATGCATTGAGTCGATCGTGTTTTATTTGCCGTCTAAGTGAAGTGGCAGCAGCATGATAGAATGAGCTGGGTATGGCAGTGTATGCAGTTGCAGCGGCAAAAGAACTTTCCGATTGTACTCCGACCGACTTCAGTTCCGGTTCTAAACAAAAGTCGTCAGTGGAAATACCCACTTCCTGGGTTGCAATTTGGACCGAGGATGAAGAGGGTGGAACAGAAGAACGTTCAGGTAGGGAGGTGGTCGTCACTGAGGTTGTCGTACTGGGTACCTCACTTGGTACCACACGAGCACCACTGATAAGTTCAACAGGTAATAGACAAGGTATCACATTAGGGATATTATCGATGTCAACGGAACGGTATTCAGGCAAAAGTCCAGTAATAAGCATTCGATGTACAATATACTGCCTCTGATTAGCCTCTATTTCACAAGCTTCCAAGGATTCTCGTCTTCTTTCCAAGACTTCCTTCAATTCCTTCTTCAGCAAAACACGAGCGAGTGGGCTGGGCATTTTGGTACCGGATGCTTGTCCCAGTACCGTTGAGCGATCACCCGCTGCAGCAGAGGTGGTTTGTCGAAGGAGTAATTTAGGTTTTGCATTGATGATCGCTGCTCCGGGAAGGATGGCGGGATCTACCGTGCGACAGTTGGCGGTTGCTGAAGAGGATGATAATGAAAGACTGCTTAGAGAGGCAGTACGAGAAGTGGGTTGTGAGTAGGCACGAGGATCCTGAGCATGATATTGTCGTTCGAGAGACGGAGATACAACTGGGGTGCTTGATATGAGGTAAACCGGAGCGGGAGGCGTTTCGCTGACCTTCTCTGCACGTTGTGTTGGAATCGAAGGCAGCTTTCGTCGTCCCATCTCCAGTGATGTCGAACATTGTACATCATCCTGTAAACGTCTCGATTATCTCCAATTATCTCTATAATAGGTTCCAAATGTTTGGTTTCTATTTATAACTTGTTACAGAGTTTGTAGTACTCTTTAAATAAAATTACAAGGCCTATATGTTTTATGGCATATAATGTATAATTTAAAAATATGTAAATAGCACATTCGCGACAAGCTTCACACAGTTTTGATTTAATGGAAATCCATCGTTCTCTGAAGTTTGCGTTTTTTTTTTTTCCAATATCCCGTAAATCTGTCCCTAGTTTAGCATCCCATGACCAATTAATGACTACCATAGGGTCATCGCTGTTGCTAGAACCGAAGATGCAGGGTGCAAATCTTTTGCACAAATTGTGACTAGTTCCAGTCATTTGAATCAGCAGACAAGGCATTGGAAAAGGCAATGGTTTTGGTTGCCATACTTTTCAAACATTTCAAGGATAATTTTTAAAAATTACTGACAAAAAATGTATAAGGAGAGAACTGGAGAACTGGTAATATCATTCTCTAATATTACTGGAATGCCATCATATAAACTTCGCAAGATCCGAAAGTCACTGAGGAGATCTCTCCATCTAACAATTGTTTTTTGATCTGCAACCTCATGTAAGGATTGTTTGACAGTAGAACACCTATATGTCTGAAATGTTTGTATCATTTCCTTGAAATCAAAGACTTTTAGAATTTTCTAAACCTCTATTTTTTTTTTTTAATATCTCTTCAAGCACACATTGTATAGTTCGTGCTGGTTCATTTGCATCATTCATACTGAGTCAAAAGTGGATATGAAATTGTATTAGCATTATAGATTCATACTGTATACGAACCATTCAGTGATATGCAAAGTCGAGATAGAACACGTGTGAATGTTCCGATAGCATTTTTCAGAGAATTTTCTTAATTTTGTCTGGGATATTCGCGAATTTACAACTTACTATCTCGCTGCAGAAACGTTTAGCCTGGGCGCAAAACGGGAGAAGGAAGAAAAGTATTTCCAGGAAAAGCAGTTTGCAGTTGTCGTTATTACTGGAT